TGGTAAATCGGTGATGTTCCCAACAGATTCTATTTCTGTTTCATTCCCCACCCTAAACCCTCGGGAGAACAGAGCCTTTCCCACCCCACAATGGCCTGCGCTGCTTCCTTTGGAAGGTTTTGGCTGAGACAAGGCAGCCTGCTACAGACATGAACTGCTGCCCCACAGACAGCCTCCCACCCCCATCCTCATGTCCGAAGAGTCCCTGGGTGGAGCTCCCCTCAGAGGCCTTGCTTTCTTATCACCAGTCACCCCTTTGTATATCTGCTGGTAATTTGCCTGAATATTGGGGGTGGAGCAGGAGAAGGCATGGCAAATACCGAAATCACTAGTTACATTTTTTATATTTCTAAATGGTTTTGTTGTATACGTGTGTCTCAAAGGTTTTATCTTGCTCCATGAAACACCCAGTCATTTTTCCTGTCAAAAAGGGAAAGAAAACACAGAATTGGCTTTTCAAATGAAAGAGAAAATCCTAAGCAGTTGAGCTAAAGTTAGTCACCACATAAAAAAGCAGCCGGTAGAACGGCTTCATTTGCTCAGTTTGCAATAAATTCATTTGCATGTGCATGTTCTGTGTAAGGCACTAAGAGGGAGTGTTCTGCCATGTTTCCTGACCTGTCTTCTTGCCCTCACTCTTGCCCCTACTATCTATTTTCACCTACAATGGAGTGATATGTTAAACCTGAAAATTGGACCACGTCTCTCGCCCTTGGTGATGAGTGCCGCCTGTGATATGCAGCGTAAAGGCGAGGACCCTCCCTCCTACCTCAGGCCAGACATGGTCTGTCCTGTCCAGTTCCAGGCTTCATCCCACTGGCCACCTGGCTCCACTGTCAGATGTGTATAAATATTTTTCCTCCCTTTCTCTTTGGAGACTTTCTGCTGGATTCTGGCTGCCTGGAATACGCTTCCCACACCTTTTGCCTGTTTGTCTTCAGCTGTCTTTTAGGTCTTAGCTTAAATAGCACATCCATGAAACAGAATTGATGATATAAATATATATATATATATAAATATATGGTGTACTCCCTGTTTTCATGGACTTTTTAAGTTCATTTTTAGAGATGAAAGACTCAGCCCAGGGTCTTGGTGTCACTGAACGCATCTTAGAAGAAATGTGCGCAAGCTGAGTTGGTAGAATTAACAATTCCAAGCCAAGCATGTCACACAACATAAATACTTCACTTAAATTTGTGATCACTCACAGCCAATTGTAGTTGAAGTCCTGAACTTTAGAAAATTTTCAGCCTCACTGGGAAGCAAGAAGGCCAAGGAATAGTCAAAGTGAGTAGTCAGTGACCACTGGGTGCTACAGATAAGACAACCAATCCATGGGAGGAACAGGTGTGCTTTGTCCATTTGGGAGGGGCATAGCTCATGGTGGGGGGCTATCAGGTTTCATGCTGGGCCCCAAAGAGAGGGTGTCTTTAGTCACAGCTTACAAAAATGACTGTACATTTTTGCAGCCAAGAACCTGGACACACTTGGCCTCTGCTTTCAGGTAATGATAATGGCAACCTCTATATAAACCCCTCTCTGTCCCTAACACTGTCATGGAAGGTGATTGCTAAATCTGCCTTCAGGTGGGCAGTGGACCCTCTACCCCTCAGGGAGTTCCTACCTATGTCACCTCTGGGCCCCACATTTCCAGAGAGTTGGGCTCTGACTAGACTGGATACACAGTGGGCTTCACGTGATTGCTCCAATATTTTGTTCTTTTTAAAAAAGATTTATTTATTTGTGCATACAAGAGCTGGGGTACAGGCCAAAGGTGTGGGGGGTGAGAGGATTCACCAGAGACAGAGCAGGGAACAGAACAGGAAGACTGACTAAAGTACACTGCTGAGGGGAGCAGCGGGCAAGACAGGAGACATGCTGCGCCATATGGGTAGCTCCCTGGCCGGCTGGGGATCCAACTCGTCCTGCAGAGGCTGCGGATTGCTTCATCGTGCTTTGCTTAACCCTTTGCACCACCAGGGAGGCCTCTTCAATATTTTATTCTTGACCTTAGTGCTTACCAGCCAATGGATGCACAAAATGCCCAGTGAACTCAGGAAACAGGCCTGGCAATATTAGCATTAGCGGCACCGAATCCCGTCATCGATAACAATAACTATTTTGAGGGATTATTTTCCAAGTTCAGAGTTTGTTGAAGTGTCCAACTGTCCATGATTTTAACTGTTAACTTTTCTAAGGATTAAGTAGTTTTATGTATAGAAATGCATAGCAAATAAACTATCTTAATTCTTGTAGTTGCAAATTTCTGTACACAGTGCAATCTTCATCATAGTTGACTAAAGTTACCTCCAAGAGCATGGAAATGAAAGGTAAAACATAGAAAGGCATTGGTGCAAAAGCAACCTCATCATGAATATTGCCAAAATTTCTTGACATAGAAATTATATGACCTTCGGTTACAACTTTTCTAAATTTTTGTGAGCTAACTTATCTTCATTTTCATTATGCTTTGAAAAAGTCCTCACAAAACACATTTTTATTGTATTTTAAGATTTCCCATGAAAGGGAGTTTGAGCTGTTATTTCCCAGCATGTCTATCACTGTTAAGAGTGCAGTTTCAGAATCTTGGGTTCAAATCCTTGCTCTGTCACTTAGCACCTGTGTGAAATGAGCCAGTGCACTAACTTTTCTGGATCTTAATTTCTCCTTTGTCAATGAAAAGAATATGTTCCTTATAAGTTTATGGGCCACACGCCTGGTCAGGTAGGTGTAAATAAGCTTCAAATCCAGGCCCTCCCCAGATTATAACCACTGTGCTGTGTATAGCAAAACCCCTCAACATGGGGGGAGGGCCTCTCTAGGTCACCAAGGGTTGAGGCAAATAGAAATGGAATCTGCACATGCAGCATGGTAAAGTCTTGGACACATACTACCTGACAAGAGGCAAAAAGGCAGCTTTAGGTACTGTCCACTGTCCCTGGTGCTGCCACCCAGTGCTAAGCTACAGTCAGAGCCAAGCCTGCATTACACCACTTCCTTGGCAACACGCCTGCTCCTTCTTCAGCCAAAAGTCACAGGTGTCTTTCTGCAGAGAAGGGAGCTCTGCCAGGGTGGCCGTAAGGTGGAGGCCGGTCAGCTTGCCCCTGTGAGCACCTTCAGTGCCAGCTTTGCCACTCTTCCCATCCTGTTTGGTTTCCATTGCCAGCTGGGCTCTGAGGTAACTGCTTGGCCCACCTCAGCATCCTCCTGTCGAGGCATTTCAGAGACTCGCGCTGACTCTGGTCAGTGCGGAGCTGTCAACAGCTCTCCAAAGGAGCTGCCAAACTTCCTTGGCAGTGGGTCAGAAAGACCTGCAGACTGGCAGAGCCCCTTGCTCTCACACCTGCTCCCCCCATAGGTTGTGGCCTAAGGGAGCATGACTGCAAGTGTGCTGTGGAGCAGTCCTTACAGGGAGTCAGAGAAACCAGTGGAAACCCCTCTCTCTAACCTCTCCCTGGCCAGGACTCATTTACAGCTTACTCACTCCCAAGGTGAGGCAGAAATACCAGCACAGGTAAGCAGGTGCCAGTGAGGACAGAGCCAGGGAGGACCAGGGGAGGTTCAGTGTGTCCTGGGTCTCCAAATTTCCCCCCAATGCAACATGTTTATAACCAGACTCTTGCTCCTCTCCCCAATCAGGTCTTTCCCTCACCTTGGCCTCACATGTGAGGCCTCCCACTCCCTTGACATTCCCTGCTTCTCACTGTTGCTCTCGCCTGGGTGAGTCTTCCCGCCTGCTTCTCTTTCCTGGTGTGTACGACTTCTGGCCTGCATCTCTTTCCTTAATCAAATGCCAAATCCTGTGTTTTTTCCTTTGAAAGACTCTATGACTTTAACCCTCTTTTTCATGCATATGGCTGCAGCCTCTCTCTACACCTAATCTCTTGTGTCAATTCCTTGTAGCTGCCTCTTGAGAGTTCTTTCTGCTTAGAGCCTTTCCTTATTATTCAGTGTTCCACTCAGATGTCAGATGAATGGTCTTAGACCACCATCTTCATTATGTCTCTGCTTGCACCCTCCACTCAGAAAACCACCAGAGCTTTTCACTGATCTCAACATAAAGGCAGACCCTTGCCATGAAATATGATCAAGTGTTGATGAGCTTGTCACCTTCCCATGCCCATCCCAGGCAGACACCAATAAGCCATCCCAACACCTGTGCCCACTAAGCTCAGGCTGGGTATTGGAACGCTCCCTGTGTGACACCCAAAGCATCAATATTTGTCAGCCTAGATGTACACAGAGGTGCCACCTGGCCCCCCTCCAGCCCATCAAGCAGCTGTTTATTCACGCTGTCTGTTTGCAACCTCATGTTCTCTATTACCCCATTATAATGTTCTCTTCTTGGCCCTCAAACTTTGCAGGCACCACAGATGTTTGGCTGTGCCCTGCCTTATGTCTTCTTTGTAGATCGAGTCTTGCCTCCTTGAATAGGTGCAGCAGTCCTGGAGGGTGATGCCTTTCTCTCCAAGCAGTGTGTCTGACTGCATCCAGTTCAGGAAGTAGCAACTCGGTTTCCCTTTCAGCTTCATTTCTTAGATGAAGAAGACAACATTTTTATTGAATCCTCTGTTCTATCTACACAGAGAGCCATGATACTTCCCTACGAGGACATGGTGCTATTTGAACAGCACCTGGCCTGGGAATGGGAGTCTGACTCAGCCAGGTAACCTGCGAGAGGGTGCCTGTGCAAGGGAGGTCACCAATGGAAGCACACCAGATCCCGGTCCTCTCTCGTGTGGGCTCCTGCTGCGTGTCTTTAGGCATGCGACTTTTTGTCTCCGGGCATCCTTTGTCTAGAAAGGTGGGAACAGTGATGGCAGGTGTGGGGTGTCCCCATCTCCCTGTCACCTGCCTCCGTGGAGGCCCCAAGTTTAGACATCACAGCTCAGCTTTAATGCCAAGGTGAGTGGGGTGGGCAGAGCTTCTAAAACCAGAGGCCTTCACTCCGGTACTGATTGTCTCCCGCCTTCTCCCTCAGCAGTTGGGCCGCTGGCAGCATGGAGTTGAAGAGAGGAAAGACTTTCATCAAATCGAGCTTGCAGATTTCCCAGGAGAAGCCCCCAGACTCAGAGACCATCGCCTCTGCCAGGGAGGACGCAGGCTCCCGCTCAGTCTTATCGGGAGGGCAGCAGTGGTCCCATGGTGAGAGGCCCCCCCACATCAGTCCCAGCACCCAAGGATATGACAGATGCCCCAACAAGGGGGTACAGCCAGACCCCGAGGCTGGGACCGCCTTCAAGCTGGTGCGGAAGAGCAAGACTCATGACAACGTGTCCGGGGCCGGCAAGGTGGCCACGGCTGTCGGGCAGTTGGTGGGCAGCGCCAGCTTCCCAGGGCCCTCCGGCAGCCAGCGCATGATTGACTACCGCCACTTTGTGCCCCAGATGCCCTTTGTGCCAGCCGTGGCCAAGAGCATCCCAAGGAAGAGGATTTCCCTGAAACGACCTAAGAAGTGCTTTCGGAATCTGTTCCACCTTCGCAGAAGTAAGACTGAGAACCTGGCCTCTCTGGCCACAACGGGGAAGAGTCTGCCTTCCCCGAGGGGGCCAGCAGAGGCGGGAGGGCAGCAGGGAACAAGCTTCTTCCCCTTGGGTGAGGGACTGGGGCAGGATGTCCAGTTCCAGGACCTGTCTGACAGCGAGATCCTGCCCGACTCCCCTTTCGACCTCTGTAGAGTTCTGTGTGAGGACGTGGCCTCCCTGAAGAGCTTTGATTCACTCACAGGCTGTGGGGAGATCTTTGCCGATGAGAGCTCGGTGCCGTCCCTGGAGCTGAATGAGGGCCCGGAGAGCCCAGCCGGCACCTCCCAGGCCCCGGAGAACAAGGTCCTCAGGGGCCCCTTCCAGGGCAGCGCGGAGCAGCTGGCCTCGCCGGCGCACAACGAGATGTCTGACTTTGCCAAGTTCTGGGAGAGTGTGAATCACTCCGTGAAGCAGCAGCAGCGTGCCCTGCTGGGCCCGTGGCTGGGGGGTCCTCAGGGGATAGACACAGGCCCACCCAGGCTGGATGCGGCTGGGCTGGCTGAGCTCCCCCTCTGCTCCTGCAGAGACCCCCACAACAGCTCCAAAGCTAGCTCCATTGACACGGGCACCCCCAAGAGTGAGCAGCCAGAATCTGTGTCCACCAGTGACGAGGGGTATTACGACTCCTTCTCCCCGGGCCTCGAGGAAGACAAGAAGGAGGCCACCAGTCCAGGCACAGCTGCAGCTGCCTTCCCCCGGGACAGCTACAGTGGGGACGCCCTCTATGACCTCTTCTATGATCCCAGCCAGGGCCCTGCCGAGCCAAGCCTGGACGACGACTTGTGTGTGTCTGAGAGCCTATCAGGGCCGGCCCTGGGGGCCCAGCTCTCCATGTGCAGCTTCCACGTGGGGGCAGAGGAGAACTTGGCCCCAGCTCCAGGCCCAGACCTGCTTAGCCAGGGCTTCTTGCAGAGCTCCTGGAAGGGCAAGGAGTGCCTGCTGAAACTCTGTGACACGGAGCTTGCCATCACCATGGGCATCATCAACTGGCTCCGCCGAGGCCCTGAGCTCCGCACCTCGCCTGCTTCCACCCCCATGGAGCCTGCGGGCCCACCCAAGGGGCCAGTAGAGAAGCTGGGAGCTGGTTCTGGAAAGCTGGGCCCAGGTCCAGTGAAGCCAGAAAGCAGGGGCTCCCAGGCCTCCGATGCAGGTAGGATCACCTCGGGCACAGCAGCCAGCAGGAAGGAGCTGTGGGGACACTCAGTTGCTGGAGAGAGCAAGGTCCTAGTGGGGGCCAAGCCGGGGACCAACCCCCCACCCAGGGACCCCTCACTGGCGTGTATGCATGCATCTAGGGAAGAAGGGGCACAAGGCCACCCTAAAGGCTCATTCTCTGTGGGGTCTGCAGTTTCTGAAACAACAGATACTTCTGGCAAAAAGGAGGCCCCAAACCCCTCTCCCTGGCCCAGCTCCCAAGAGCTCTGGTCACCTGGGAACCTAGGATATTTCCAAGGTCCCTGGAGGCCAGGTCTTGGGGGAAGCACCCTGGATGCAGAACCCACTCTGACAAGCTGTGTGGCCCAGATGGCAGCCCTGCAGTTTCACACAGATGGCCAGCACCCCGCTGCACAGCCCCCCAGGCAGGACACAGGCAGTGGGCTCTGTGGACAGCGTCAGGCCAGGGACATGGACTTTCTGCAGCAGAAACAACTTAACAGCTCCCCAGGCGTGGCTGCAGTCTGTGGCCTGTCCTCCCCGGCCAGTCCATTCCACACCCCGCAAGACCAGAAGTGCCCAAGCTGTGTCTTGAACCTGAGCCAGCTCAGGATGGAGCCCACCAGGCTAGACATCCAGGCCCAGGCTGCTGCGGGGGACCAGCCCCTGTGGCTCAGCGCGAGGGTCTTGGGGCAGGCAGCCCGCAGGGCACAGCTGGACTCCTAGCTCCCCTCGGCCCCTGCTTCCCACTGGGCCCCTGGAGTCCCCTGCCAGGTATCCTGGGTCTCACTTTCAATAGCCAACAGGAGGGGCCCCTCTGAGGGAGCTGCTGCAGTTTCTTGACCCAAAGCCCTTCTCTGTAGCCAGCAGGAAGGAGGACCAGGCCAGTCAGGCAGAGCCCACGTTAGGAGCTGTCATTAGGAGCTGTCTTTGTGGCTTCATTGAGGAGAACCTGAGACCCACGTCTCCATCCTTTGTCCTGATGTGAGGACTGTGTTTGGGGGTGGGGGGCAGGTGTTTTTATATGGGGATGTCCATGCCTGAACCCGCAACTCAGCCAGACACGTGCTGGGCAACCCGACTTCAGGACGCCTCACTAATTTCCCCTCGGTCTAATGCGGGGAGTTGACTGTGACAGGACAACTGGTTGCTGCCCGCACAACATGCCAGAGAGCAGAGCCTGAGCTGGAAGCTGAAGGGAAGGAAATGTATGATTGTGAAGCGGAAGCAGAGCAATCCTGTGCAGGGTCGAGAGTAACGCCTACATGCCTGGAAAATGCAGGGCTCAAGGTGGGAGGCTCAGTGTGGGAGATGTGTGGGGTGGAGACTCAGCTGGGCTCAGGTGTGCCCCAGGAGGAGCAGCTGCAGCGTGCTGGGGCCTGAAGGGCTTCTCGGTGGGGAAAGCAGCAGCATCAGCCCCATGTCAGCAACTCTGCTCGGGCCAGACTCTGCCGCCTGGTTGGGAGGTGTCGGTGAATTCATGGGATGCAGATCGCTCTTTGGGAAGAGCTGATTCGCCTCACAACCTTCCAGTTCTTCACCTCCCCTTCTGTCAGCAGCCCCACCTTTCCCCTCAGGAACACTCACCCCTGAATGGGGCCGTCCCTACCCTGGCCAGAAGGCCACAGCACGTGCGCAATGCCACACGTCCAGGAGCTTGGAGGAGGAGGTGGCCCACGTTGCTGGGAAGGGCCAGTTGGCTTTGGGACAGCAGATGCCTGTCACCATCTCTGAGTTGGGTCTTTCCCCAGCCAGTAGGTCTCAGTGAAGTGGAAGGGAGGGTACGCCATGGATAGTTTCTACAGGAGAGACCAGCAGAGAATGGAGGTGGGCCAGGTGAGGGAGAGGAGGTCCAGGCAGAGGGAAGCCATCAGACTGCTGGCCACAGAGGGTGCCCCTCCCGCTGGCTTGGGCTTCATTTTAGGCTGGAAAATGCTCTCTGTGGCCTACTGTATACAGGAGACAGCAGCACACTATAGGCTCAAAAGTCCATGCCAAGGCCCTCAATCAGGCCACCCTGACCTGGGGCACTGAGGCAAGTCAGGGCCAGGCTTCCTGGGAGGCCACACTTGCACTTTCTTCCTGGGACCCCACCCATGCTCATGGCTGCGTCTGCAGACCTTGCTGGTAGCAGGTTATGTGGTGACGAGCTCCCTTCACCCCAGCCTCAACCTGGAGCAACAGTATATGTTGCTAGACTACTTCTGAGATGTGGACACTGAGGCACAGAGCCCGGGCGTGGCTTGCAAAGCTACTGTGTGGGATTGGTGGGGTGACCTCCACCTCTGTTCCAAGGTCGCCTCTTCACCAGCCCCCAGCACAGCCCTGGCTGAGCTCCTACAGTGGGTCATGCCTCCTCCTTTCAGGGCAAACATGCCCGCCCTGGGCACACGCTGTCCTGCGAGCAGCTGAACGACCAGGGACTGTCACCCTGTGCTGTGCTGAGCAGAGTCAGTTCTCAGTAACTACTTATGAGAAGAATGAAATACCCTAAGGTTACTGTTTTTCTGATTTCTTTTTGATTGCCAACTTGGTGTCCAGAGAGTAGCAGGGTTCTCTGATGGAGCTTTTCCTTGATGTGACAGACATGGCAGCTCGAGATAATGGGCGAGAAACACAACCCAGTTCCTTCAAAGGGCAGGAACCAAGGTGTTGCGGCCAGGCCAGGTGGTGAAGAGGACAGACCAAAGGGGGTCCAGAAGCCGGGGACCACGCAGGCCTAGCTTATAGGTACTGGTGCTGTGGTTATCGAGAGGAGCCCCTAGAAGCATTGTAAGCAATCCTAGCACCCCAGATTCTCATGGGGAGGGTCCACATAAACACACACGAACCATAATCACTTTTTCTTGCTCAGTGTATCATAGCCCTTTTGGACGTAGCAGGGGTAGCCTGCTAGGTGCCTTTTGCTAGAAAAATGGAGGTGAACAGTGTGATTTTCCTTGCATTCAGTGGGTCTGAGACTCCCGCAACCCTTCTCTCTGCACCTATCCTTCAGTCTATTTTCCCCAGAAAGGGGTCTGCTAGTTCCAAGGGCCTCAAGGTATCCCCCTGAGGGGAAGGGGAACTGCAGACCAACTTCTGGGACAAGCACCTCACCTGACACTGGACATGGAGGAGGCCTGGTTGAGACCTTTTCAGAACTCTGGTTGTTTCTAACCTCTTCTTCGTACATGGCTTTCGAGGTTGTTGGAGGTTTTTTTTCCAGATAAAGCAACATGCTGAGAAGTAGGCCCAGTTGTCACCCACTCACAAAGACTGAGTGACTCACCTGGGCACACACGGTGTTGAATGGGGACCTGTGCACTGTCCCTTCCAACCTGGGAACTGGCAGCCTGCCAGCAGATCTAATGGTGCAGGAGGCCTGTGCCCTTCAGCAGTGTGGCTGGGAGTGGGCCAGGAGGTAGGGAGAGTGCAGGAGGGAAGCATGGGTGCAGAGAAGGGGTGGAGGCCAACCCTGGCTGTGGGGGAGCCTGCGAGATAAGTCAGGGTGTGTTTTAACTTTTCTTTTAATTTAAAATTTTTATGGAATGGGAATAAATACACAGGGTACAAAACTCAAAGAGTACAGAGGAAAAACAATGAAGAGTGATTCCCTTTTCTCCTTCTTTACTCTTCTGTTGCTTTGATTACAAAATTAATTCCCAGTAGGTACAGCCAAGTCAAACAATGCTGAGTGCAGAGCCTCCTCTTCCACAGCCATGGTGTGTGATCTCAGACTGTCTATGCCCACGCATAAACACTAGTGAACACTAGTGATCACTTTTTGCTGCACAGCGTAACATAGGTCTTTTCCTTGGGTTTAGCAGGTGCCAGTGGCAGTCAGCTTCTCCATTCCCTTGTGTAGCTGTACAGCAGTCTCCTGTAGGAAGCAATTTTCTCCTAAACATTCTCTATTAAAGTCCTCTTCAAACTATAAAAGTGAAACTGGCCTCAACAATGAAGAGGTATATAAGCAAGGCATCTAGCCTCCCAGCCCTGATGCTAATGATGTGGGCTCCATGCTGACACATACATACCAAACACGCATATACCTTTGGGAGGAGAAAGGTGATTTTTGCTCTTATGTTAAGACTTTGGAAGCTGTCATTTCCATCCTCACAGAAGAGAAAGCTACACAACTGAAAGGAAATGATTTTTCTGGACCTATCAGAGAACTTAGATTACAGAACAAAAAACTTGCACGAAACTTGCAGAGACAGGAACATCAGAGCTGGTAGGAGCAGTTAAAGAACAGCTTGGCAAATTACTGCAGACTAGGTGAGAAGCTGGGGGCTAGGAAGTAAATGGAGGGGTCTACATTTTCACAGGCTGTTTCTCCAAGAACCACACTATGTTTACAGGGTGAGAATAAAGAAGGATGCCCTCATGGGTCTGGCAAAGAAGAGTAGCCATTGTGAAATCATCCAGATTCTTCTCCCTAACAGGCCTACCTCACAAGGGAGGAATTTAGGCAGAGGCTGTTCTGAAACCTTTCCAGATCTAAAGGAATGGAGCTCACCCCGCTCCAGAGCTCTCTAGGCTTCCTGTCTCACATAAGAAAAAGAAGAGAGCGATGCACACACACACACACACACACACACACACACACAGAGAGAGAGAGAGAGAGAGAGAGAGAGAGAGAGAGAGAGAGAGAAAATATCAGGAAAGGGCTTTAAGAAATCAGACTGGGAAATGATGCCTGAACAGACTTCTAAAGGATCATCCCGCTCAAGAGGCACAGGCCCACAAAAGACTGAGAACTAATTAGAGATTTGGAAAATAAAGGAAGGTCCCTCCCCTCTTCCCCCTCCCCACACACCCTATCACCACACTCATAAGCTTCCAATCATAACAGCAGTGAATTACAACTAAAAGAGTTACAATACAAAGACTCTAAAGAAAACCAAAAAAGAACAAAGGAAGGAGGAAAATATAAAGCCAAATAAAGTGATTTGAAACTTCTGGTGCCTACAGCTATGACAAATATTAAAACAGCCCAACTCTTAGATTAACATGCAGCCTTGCATTAAAAACCTATTTGCTTCATTACCTATTACCCTATACAACTTCTCTGACTTTCAACAAAAAATTATAAGGTCTGCTAAAGTAAAGAAGAAACAAAGAACAGAACTATTGTCAAAATCACGTTCTTAGTTGTTGGAATTCTCAGATAAAGATTATAAAGTAAGGACGATTAATATGTTCAAAGCTCCAATGAATAAGTAGATAACAGGCAAGAACAAGTAGCAATATAAACTAACAGAATTCTAAGAAATCAAAAGAAAATGCTAGAAATCAAGAACACTGTAACAGAAGAAAAATTCCTTCAGGTGTTTCGTCCGCTGACTTAACATGGTTGAGTAAAGAATCAGGAATCTTTAGTAGAAAATACCTTGAGACAAATGAAAATGAAATTCAACATACAAAAGTGTGTGGGATGCAGGGACAGAGTGTTAAGAGAGAAATTATATCTATAATGCATACTTTAAAAAGAAGAAAGACCTCAAATAAATAGCAACTTTACCTTAACACAGAGAAAAGACTAACCCAAAACTAGTAGAAGAATAGGAATATTAAAGCTTAGAGTGGATAGAAATGAAATGTAGAAAAGGTCAACAAAACCAAAGTTGCATCCTTAAAAAGTTGAACTAAAGTGACAAATATTTAGCTAATTGAGACTACAAGAGAGAAGACTTAAGCACTAAAGTCAGAGCAAAAGCGGGGACATTACTACCAATTTTACAAAAATTAAAGGATTATAAGGGAATGTTTATATGTCAACAAATAGATAACTTATTAAAAGGATCATACACCAAAACCAAATGAGTCTTATTCTTGAAAA